CTGCCAATCCGCCGTAGACTGAAGTTTAAGACACACAGTGTTAATAACCAACCATCAACAAGAGAATTGTGTTTCTGACAAAATCGCATCATAATCAAAGAGGTCAAGGGTCACCGAGAAATCAACAGTTGTTTTTATCGTTCCATCTATATAATCATTCATTGGTACTGAGTGTGTCATGTGATCGTCGTCGTTGCGTGTCATCATGCAGCGACTCGGTGTATCAAATTAACCAGTCACATACACAAGGACTGACAATACCCCTCCCCTCCCCCGCATACACGAGTGTTCCACTTGGATTGATGTACGCATTTACGCCACCGACAACTAACTATTGATGGACTCCAACAGACATGCATGACATTGTGAATTACCATGAAAATAGCAGAACAAGACGTGAACAAATTAACGCAAACTGGGTACTGTCAATGCAGTTGAAGTATGGAGTAAATTGAGCGACCCCGCCACATTTAATACGTTGTCCCCGGAGAATATCCTAACAATGAATATGTTTGGGGCGTTACATCTGCTGGAATACGGACTTTGTCATCAGGTTTTCCTCTCTACGGGTTTTCATACACTGGTTATTCAGTAGTGAGTTCACCCTTTCAAATGACTAATGCAGCTATTTTTTTATGTCGCATTTATTTTTTCAAAACGCGGGCGGGCGTCAACAAATTGACCACCGGGTGCGCGTTTTCATCTTATCTCTTGAATCACCTCGTAAGTGTATTTTGCATTTGAAAATAAAATGTTGCACTGAAACGAACCAAGACGTCAATTTGATAAATATTTTATTTAGATAGCCATGCTATCCGAGATACCCATAATGCGCCACACCCATGGCATCACCGAGGCCAAACTAAAAATATATCACCACCAGTACATGCCCTAAACACAGCCGCCGACAAATTTATGGATACGTATGTATAACATAAATGATAGAGGACCGGTCGTCGTGGTGTGAGGTATATTTCAATCGCATGGGAGACCCACAGATTTCCGATAGTTGGTTGCCTTTCGACTCACAAGAATTATTTTGTATACATTTGGTTGTGATGTGTGGTGTAGACGGTTCTCGAAAGACTGAATCGACATGAATACACTTTACTATTTTGTGTCGTATGGCACACTAAATCTCTGGGCGTGGTCATTGTTACCCAAAATATTAATGAGGCCCTATCCTAACATTAATGCAACATATCCTATTGTGTTTTGCTCATAAAAAGAATCACAACCCACGGCTTAAATGTAATTTCGCTCGTGATGCAAGTCCCCCATTAACTGTTTGAGGGACGTAATTGAAACAATGTTTCGAAAAATCCTAGAATAGTTTCCATCATCACCAACATCATCATCATCATCATCATCATCATCA